AAAACCAACTGCGAGAGAGCACTGAGTCCCATGGTGTCTCTGGCGTATCGCAGCATCTCCTTCAGATCCGACTTCATCATCGACCCAATCGGATTCAAATCTGCTGCCGAGCAATCATATTTTGTCACGTAGCCAACTAATCTATAATAATAATAAATAATATTAATAAAAATAAATAAAAATAAATAAAAACAATAAATAATAATAAACAACAATAAATAAATAAAAATAAATAATAACAATAAATAATAAATAACAATAATAATAAGAAATAATAGTAACAAATAATACTAACAAATATTAATAAACAATAATAACAATAATAATAATAATAAATAATAAGAAATAACAACAATAAATAATAATAAGTAACATATAATAATTAACAATAATACGCAATAATAAAAAATAATAATAAGTAATGAATAATAATAAATAGTAATAAATAATAATAAATAAGAATAAATAATTATAATAAACCATAGTAATAACTAATGATAAATAATAATATTTAATAATAACAATAAATAATAATAATAAATAGTAATAAATAACGATAAATAATATTTAATAACAACAATAAATAATAATAATAAATAGTAATAAATAATAATAAATAATAATAATAAATAATAATAAATAATAATAATAATAAATAATAAAAATAAATAATAATAATAAAAATAATTAACGATTCATCGACGTTACTCGAACCCAACACGAGCAGACATCCAGGCAGTTTATTAAAGAACAACGCCAATTGAGAGAACAGATACGCAGACACCATTCTGATGCGTGCCTGCACGTTCTGCATTGCCAACGATACACGACTATCTGGCCACTGAAATTGCTATTTTCCATAATTTTTCAGAATTTTCAACTGGAAAATGATAATTTCCCAAAAATTTTCAGACTTCTCAATTGGAAAATCAAAATTTTCCAAAAAATTTTTAAGAATTCCCCAAAAATTCCAAAAATTCTCACTGAAAACACTACAAACCGACCGGTGGTGTGCCCTGAAATTCCACACCGAACGTTTTGGAGGCCATTTCTACGAACGCTTTTACGGCATCGTCGATTTCGCTTCTGCAAAAAATTTAGAGTGAAAAATGTAAAAAATCTGAAAAATTCTCACTGACTTTTCCAAAAAATTCAAAATTTTAAAAGATATTTTAAAAAATTCCCTAAAAATTTATCCCTCCAACTCACCGCAAATGATTTGAATTGATTTGTTCGGCCAATTCTCTGGCGAACTCTCTGGTTTGCTCGGAGGAATTTTTCGACTGCATATAACACGTAAAGAAGATCTGAAATTGAACTAATAATAATAATAACAATGATAATAAAAAATAATAATAAATAATAATAATAAATAACAATAATAATAATAATAAATAATAATAATAAATAAAACCTTTTTGCACAGTTCATCTGCCGATCCAACGTTAATTTCCTGCCCTGCCAGCTTAAATTCATTCTTTTCGTGATTCGGATCCTCACAAGCTGCAATAATAATAACAATAATAATAAATAATAATAACAATAATAAATAACAATAACAATAATAATAACAATAAATAACAATGATAAATAATATTAACACGTAAAGAAGATAAATAATATTAATAAATAAATAACAATAATAATAAATAATAAATAATATTAATAAATAAATAATATTGATAAATAATATTAATAAATAACAATAATAATAATAAATAATAACAATAATAATAAATAATAATAAATAATAACAATAAATAACAATAATAATAATAATAAATAATAACAAAAATAATAAAAAATAAAAACCCTTTCTATAAGCCCCAACCACCTTCTCACACATCGCCCTCACCATCACCGCAACCGAAGCGCTATCGGCACCACCCGACAACGGCAGAAAGAATCCTTGCTGTAAAACGCACAAAACTCACTTTACATCGAAATGACTCCGTTAATCGTTAATTAATTACGTCGTTAATTACATCGTTAACGAATTGTTAATTACGTTAAATTTAAAATATCAACGAAATCAGTATCGAAAATAATGAAAACAATACTCACAACAATAATAAATAACAAAATAATGACAGCACTAGCAATAATAATAAATAATAATAAAAATAATAAAAATGATATATATCATAGTGTCGAGGACAATAATAATAAATAATAAAAATTATATATATATATAATAGTGTTCGGAACAGTAATAATGACAATTAATAATAATAATAATAAATATAATGTATATCAGTGTCCAGAGCAATAATAATAACGATATATATCATGTATATCGAGAGGAAAAATAATGACAATAATAACAATAATAAAAATTATAAAAATAATATATATAATAGTGT